AGTTGGCAAAGGCACAAATAAAGTGTGGAAGACTGAGATAAAGAATGAAACTTAGCAAGAGATGGGGAATAGAAGGACATAAAAAAGAATTGTTGAAGGCTTTGAAAGAAAAGACAAGGATGAACGATAAGCAGAACAGGGAAAGGATAGAGTGAATCCTAAAGGTTGACCTCATCACAGAGTATTTATATAAGAGATATGGAGCTGCAAGATAAGTTTGCTAAATACTTTGAGTAAATTCACATCATGACACCAAAATTTATGCAGGAGATGTCATTGTTATTTATAGTTCATTAAAAAAAAGGAAAAGGATAGCTATTTTGGGGGAAAAAAAATGAATCACACACTTGAAAGGACCTTGAAAAATCATCCAGTTCTTGACAAAGGAGTATAGCTGTCAGCCTCCAGCTGTTAGCACCTAGAGCATCGGTCTCGGACTTCAAGCCAAGGTCACACTCTTCCAGGGCATCGCCCAGCCAATAACTGAGCACGGCAGGGCCACCAAAGTCTGGCCCTGTGCACCTAACAAACGCATCCTCTTTGCCCTCGGCTCCTGAGCTCCCTTTTATGTTGTCCAGGACTCTCTGAGGTCTACCTATCTCACACTTCCTATCACAGGAATCAGATCAGCATTCCTTTGCATAGGCTTTCTCCACCTAATCATGCCTGCTCGGCTTTTTACTTTTCACAGGCGTTATGTCCCCAGTCCCCCAGGAAATTTCATGAACTCCTAACTCTACCCCCACGGCTGTCTCCTGATGGATACAACTAATGCAAAGAACATATTCACAATTCACGTATCTGACAAAAGACACTCTACAAAGGATCTTTGAAATACAATAAGACAACCCAATTTTTTTTTAGATGGACAAAGACTTCATTTAAAAAGATATGCAAATGGCAAACAAGCACAGGAAAAGATGTTCCATATCATAAGCCAGGTGAAAAATGAAAAGTAAAAGCACAGTCAGATACCATGACACACCGATCAGAATAGCTAATATTGAAAAGACTGACAATTCCAAGTGAGAAAGAGGATGTGTGGCAACTTACATTTGCATACATTGCTGGTGGGAGTGTAAAATCGTACAATCACTTTGGAAACCAGTTTGGCAGTTTCTTATAAAGTTAAATTTGTATTTACCATATGACTCAACATTTACACTTCTAGACATTTACTCCAGAGAAATGAAACCTTGTACAAAAAACACCTTGTACAAAAATGTTCACAGTAGCTTTATTGATAATAGCCAAAAACTGGCAATAATCCAAACAATAAGTGAGTGAACAAATTACGGTATATCCATTCCATGAAAAGAGTACTTAGCACTTAAAAAGAACAAGGTACTGGTATGTGCAACCACATGAATGAATCTCGAAAACACTGAATCAAAGTGGCTTCTGGGGCAAAGAAGCCAAATACTTAAAAGGACATATATGATTTCATTTCTATGAGGTTCTAACACTGGCAAAACTAATCTTGGGTGATAGAAATTGAATCAGAGTTTGCCTCAAGGAGTGAGGGACTGACTGCAAAGAAGTACAAGGAAATTTCCTAGGGTGATGGAAATTTCTACACCTCGATTCAGTGGGGGTTACACAGGGGTATATATTTGTCAAAACTCATCAAACTCTACATACAAAATGTATGCATATTATTACATGTCAATTATACCTCAATAAAATTGATTTTTAAAAATATATTCCTGGCATGTATAAATACTATACTAAATAAATACTAAACAAATATATAAATACTATATCTAATAGTATCTGTTGGTATTGCAAGTGGAATATTTATCTCATTTACATTTAGATGGTTATTGCTGGAAAGTAAAGAGGCTGTTGGTCTGTTTATTTTTCTTATAGCCAGCGGCCTTATCAAATTCCCTTATTCTGTTGTTTTTAACAGAATTCCTTTGGGTTTTGTAGGCATATAATCATATAAACAGCAAAAAGAAATAACTTCATCTCTTATTATCCAACATTTTATAGATTACTTTGTTTACCTCTCTTATTGCATTTACTGGTCTTCAAAAGAATGTTGAATAATAAAGGGCATCACCAGATGGCCTTTTCTCTACCTTCAAGGAAATAACTGAGTGTTTAGACTACTATTTGCAGTTGGATTTTTCATAAAGGGTTTATCAATTTGTAGTTTCTTTCCATTTCATTTTATTTTGTTAAATTTTTTCAAATGACTTTGCAGCTTAGGTAACATACGGCTTTTCTCCTTTAAACTGCTGATTCCAATGAAATATGCTTATAGATTTCCTAATTTTGCAAGAGTTTGCTTCCCTTGAATAAAACATCTTGAATTACTCTTTTGATATGGTACTGGATTCTCTTTTAAATACATATTCATAAGCTAACTTGAACTTGGGAATTTTTTTTATACCATCTTTATCAGGTTACTATAAGGCTGGCTTCATAAAATGATTTAGGGAGTTTCTTTTTCTTTGCCCTAAAAGAGTAAAAAATATTTAATTATGCATTGTTCTTTTTTTAAAATATTTATTTGAAAGAGAGAGAATGCGAGAGAGCGAGGGAGGGAGGGGCAGAGGGAGAGAGAATCTCAAGCGGACTCCCCACTGAGTGTGGAGCCCATCTTGGGGCTCCATCTCACAACCCTGAGATCATAACCTGAGCCAAAGACAGATGCTTAACCAACTGAGCCATCGAGGAGTCCCATCCATTGTTCTTTAAGGATTAAAAAGGATTTAAAGGATTTACCTATGTGTCAAGTCTTCGTGCTATTTTTTATAGTGGATATTTAACCTCCAGTTTTTCTAGGGTAATTAGTCTCTTCGTGTTTTCTACTTATTGGGTCAGTTTTATTAGAAAGTGATTCACATCTCCTAGGTTTTCAAATGTGTCGTTCTTGAGTTTTAGTACAGTACCTGAATTTCTATATCATTACCTCCTTTCTCATTTCTACCTTGTATAATTTTGTTGTTGTTTTTTTTAAGTCGAGGTCAAAAGAGGATTATCTAGGGCACCTGGCTGCCTCAGTTGGTAGAGCATGTGACTCCTAATCTCAAAGTCAGGAGTTTGAGCCCCATGTTGGGCATTGGGCTTATTTAAAAAATAAAAAGTAAAAAATAATACACACACACACACACACACACACACACACACACACACATATGGGGCACCTGGCTGGCTAAGTTGGTGGAGCATGTGACTCCTGATCTCAGGGTAGAGAGTTCAAGCCCCACGCTGAGTGTAGAGCTTACTTAAAAAAAAAAAAAAAAAAAATCATCTATCCTATTGGTCTCTTCAAAGAACCAGCTTTAGGATTTATTTATGTAAGTTTGGGGATTTTCTATTTTATTAATTTCAATTGATATTTTTATTGCTTCTCTTACTATCATTTTGTTGCTAATTAAGATATACAATAAGTATGTATTTTTTTCTTTAAAGACATTTAAGCCTCTAGAATTGCCTCAGTACAACTTTCATTTGGTCCCATATTTTCTGGTAGGAAGTGTTCAGATTTTAATTGCTTATTGTATATCATTTTAATTTTTATTTCCTTTTTGATTCAAAGGAAATAAGGTAATTCTGGGCGCCTGGGTGGCTCAGTTGGTTAAGCGACTGCCTTCGGCTCAGGTCATGATCCTGGAGTCCCAGGATCGAGTCCCACATCGGGCTCCCTGCTCGGCAGGGAGTCTGCCTCTCTCTCTGACCCTCCCCCCTCTCATGCTCTCTATCTCATTCTCTCTCTCAAATAAATAAATAAAATCTTTAAAAAAAAAAAAAGGAAATAAGGTAATTCTAAAGCCCAGTGTAATAGTTTAAATTATTGGAGTCTTTTATTATTATTTATTACTAATTTTGTTGGATTATGATCAGAGAATATGACTTATAAAATGTCTGGGTTTTTAAGGTATTTTATGTGGCCAAGTATAGAGTGTTTTTATACATATTCCATGGACCTACCAAGTAAATTATATATATATGTATATAATATATATGTAATATGTATGTATATTATGTTATATGTATTTATGTATATACTATATATACACATACTATGTATGTAGTATATAATATATATGTTGTAATTACTATATATATGATGCAAAATTCTGAGCATTTAAAATTATCACGTAAACCACCCACGCACCCTCACACGCATGCTCATGGTTCCCCTTACTTCGCTTATCTTTTTTTTCATAGCATGTATCCTTTATGATCTTGTAACAACGTAATTTACTTATACAGTGCTTATTGTTCATCCTGTCAATTCTACATGAATGTAAGGCGCAGGAGAGCTGCTAAGTTTCGTCTGCGGTTCATTGATGTATCCCAAAAGCTACAACTGTGCCTGGCACCAGAAAAAAAATTAAATAAATAAATCATCATTACCACATGACCACACAAAAAGCAAAACAGCAATACCACCGGTGTCCATTCAATTCACTAACATCTGTTTCAACATCTGCCACGTGTCAGAATCATGCTGGTGCTAAGTATATGTAGATAAACAAGTCCCCGTCCTCACCCAGCCAATAGGGCATCTGAGAAGGAACGGGAGCCAGTGAAGGATACCGTGAATCAATGAGAAACGTATTCCTTTCATAAACGTACTTTGTTCTATTGATCTTAAAATGGCCGCAGTGGCTACCTTTTCGACTCTATTGTCGTCCTTTGCTTCTAACAACTAAAAACCATCGGCTGTCAAATCCCTAAAACGTACTGAGGGGGCTTCTAAAAGAGACAGCGACCTTGGCCAGTAATCGCCCATCCACTGAACGACCTCGAATGGTTTTCCCCGTGCGCGGGGCTCCAAAACCCACAACACTCTAGAGACCGCGGCCGGAATGCCAAGTGTTGCACTGAGCGTCCCGGCTGCCCTCCGCAGGGGTCAAGGTCGGACGGGCCCCGCGAGGAAGGAATCCGTCTCGCGCACAACAGGCGCTCGCCGACACTCTGGGTCCACGGAGGGAGCCCCAAACACCAGGCAGGAAGAAGGCCAGTCCTCAGCAAAGTCTCACCCACCAACGCCCGACACCACACACGCATGCGCAGCGGCAGCCGCCGGGCGCAGCCGCCGGGCGCGTCCGCCTCGCAGCCTTCGCCCCGCCCCTCGGACCGGAAGAAGTTGCCGGCGCTTCCGGCGCCCAGCAGGCCTGTGGTTGCCTCGGTGATGTCGTGGGTTCAAAGGGCTCCCTTGGTCGGGGGTCCCGGAGAGGAGGGGGACATATTTGACGAGGAAGCGGACGAGTCGCTCCTGGTGCAGCGGGAATGGTGGAGCCACATGCAGAGACGAGTCAAAGTAAAGCTGCGTGGCGGGTGCGGGGGAGATATGCTGGGTTGCGGGGACAGGGGCAAGGAGCTGTCAGGAGTCAGGGTCGCGAGAGTAGAGGCCAGCGTGGTGCCCCTACCCCTGCCACCCAGATACTGCTAGGATTTTCCACTGAAAGCGTGTGAAAGCATGGGGCGGCGCGTTAGACGCTGGGCACAGACCAGAATACGGTGGGTCTAGACTTCGAAAAGATTGCAGTTTGATGAGGACCACAGAGAAGGTGGGGGAGAAACATAGACACTGACTGTACTAATTAGGGCTGTCAAAGGACATGTGGTTGCTTGAATGGGTGAAGAGCCTAAAGTTAGGAGTGGCATTAATCGAGACGTACGGAAAAAGTGAACTGAGGAATGTCGAAGAGCAATAAAGGAAAGCTACTGTGGGATACTGTGGCTAAGTGAAGGAATACCAAAGTTGGGTTCTTCTCTGTTCGGTGTGAATTAGCCATATCTACTTTGTCGCACTAGTCACTGAAACTAAGCTTAATACCACACACTCAGTTTCCAGCTGGAGTACTCAGAGCTGAGTTCACATGGTGAGGTCCACTTCCACCTAATATCCTTGCCAGCCATTATGTTGCGCCTGATCTGCCCTTGTTTGTTTCAGTAAAATGTTTGCTTAGCCCAACGACCGTGTTACCAGTTTCAGAAACGCTTCATGTGAGGCGGGGCCTAGACAAGCAAGCATCTTCGGCTTCTGTGGCACCATCGCAGATGCAGGACAAAATCCCTGCCCACGGAGAATCTGCAGTTCATTTGAATTTAGATATCAAGCAAAATGTCTAAAATCACACTTTTCATCTTTTTCCTAACACAGTTTCCTCTTTCCCGACTTGAGTTGATTATTGAAGACCTCCAATAACCTATTTATTACCCTGCCTTCTCACCCACTCACACCAGTCAGTGTTGCCAAGGGGCCAGACGTGTAACTCTGGTTCCTTTCTGTGAAGGTGTTGTTAACACAGGGTTTTTTAAAACTGTACAAGAGTCAGTATTTTTAAATGTGCCAAATAAGTCGACTTCAAAAGTGGGATGTGCCAATAATAAACCTTTATGAGAAGCGTACTCTGCTTTGGTTGTGTGGCTTTGCCATTTGTTGTAGAACCATTACGTAAAATAGTAAATAGTAATTTAGTAAAGGCCTATTTCATCAATTTTCCAAACTGGTTCTGTGACTTTCTAGAAAAACCTACAGTGGTTTACTTGGTGTTAATTACAGCTGCAGTTCTTCGTTACTTATTTTTAGGAAGGTTATAGAGATGGAATAGATGCTGGCAAAGCAGTTACTCTTCAACAAGGCTTCAATCAAGGTTATAAGGAAGGTGCAGAAATCATTATCAACTATGGACAACTCAGAGGAACATTGAGGTAACTTTTTAAACTTAAATGCTGAGTCATTTTAACCTCAGTAATACTAGAGGACTTGTATAAAAGTAGTATGTAAAAATATAGCACTTAAACTGAAGTGCTTTTTCTAGTGTTAAATCCACAAAAGAGTACTGCGGAGCATAGAATAATATGATCAGTTCATCCACTCTGATACGTGAGTCAGGTGTTGTCCTTTATTGCAAAGAAAATGATAGGAAGGTGTATATTTTTTGCTACCTGAACTACCACTAATTTGTATCTCAAAGTAATTTAAAAGATCTTCAGGTTTTGAATAAACCTTTCAATCTTGCACGTGTGGCAGAACACAGTGTAACAGACTTCTAGACTAGAAGTGCATGATGAAAATTATAACTGGTAATAGAGAAATGATTCCATTTACTTTAGTGCTGAACGTTGAACACCTGTCAAGATTCCATAGTAATAACAGCGTATATCAGACCCAAGTGGTCAAATGGCAGAAAGAGCTAGAAGCATGACAGGCTTGTCATCTTTGACACTTTATACCTTTTAAATTGTCCTCTATAGAAAAACAAACAAACAACCATAAAACAGTTCAAAGAATCACTAATTTTAAAAAGTAGGAAATAAAAGTTATCAAAACAAAAAAAATTAATTGAGGTTTTAGGAAATTCAACTGTCAGAAATCAGAATTTATACACTAGGAAAATGATCAAGTATTCATTTTACATCAAGTTAAATCTTTTACAAGCTCAGAAAGTTTATTGCTAAATCTTTAATATCAATTGATTCCATTTTTAAAACATGATTACTCTTCGGGGCACCTGGGTGGCTGGGTCAGTTAAGCATCCAACTCTTGATTTCTGCTCAGGTCATGATCTCAGGGTTGTGAGACTGAGCCCCTCAGGGTCGGTGTTGGGCATGGAGACTGCTTAAGATTCTCTCTCTCTCTTTCTTAAAAGAAACAAACAAAAAAACCCACAGGATTACTTTTTACAACCATTATTTTATATCATGATTACCTGAACAATCTGAAATGTCAGAAAATAAAAGTATTGTCTGTACTAGAAAAATAAAGATATCTATTAGGACTAGAAGAATTCTTACCTTCTTCAAGAAAATAATTAGTTATCTCAACAGTGATTACTCTATGACAAAGTTGGGAAGGAGAAGTTGCCTCAAAACTTTTTCTCTACCCTTTAGTTTTGATGGCAAGTAATTATGGTTAGAACAATTGTCTTCAACCTCGGCTGCACCTTGATATCAGCTGGGAAGCCTTAAAAAATAGTACCCCCAGAGATTCTGATTTCATTGGTCTGGGATGTGATCTAGGCCTTGACAGTTTTAAGAGCCGCCCAGGTGATTCTAATGTACATTCAGGTCTGAGAATCACTAGTCCAGAAGCTGTGTGCTGTCCTTCAAGGAGAAACTAATTTTTGTGATCTCTTTCCCTGAGTTGCATCCCTCTTCAGCAGAAGCTACACAGTCATAAAGAAAAAATCTAAAATCAAGAAAAGTGGATGTGAGGGGCGCCTGGGTGGCTCAGTCATTAAGCATCTGCCTTCAGCTCAGGTCATGATCCCAGGGTCCTGGGATCGAGCCCCTCATCGGGCTCCCTGCTCGGCGGGAAACCTGCTTCTCCCGCTCCCACTCCCCCTGCTTGTGTTCCCTCTCTCGCTGTGTCTCTCTCTGTCACATAAATAAATAAAATCTTTAAAAAAAAAAAGTGGATGTGCAGTTGTGAAGGAGGTGTTAGGAATTATAAGCACTTTATGTGATTACTTCCAGTTTAATTTTTATCAATAGATAATATCTTTATATATTTTAAAATCTATTTTAGCATCATTACTTTTCCTGATTTTGACTTGCATTATTATTGATTCATTTTTGCATGGTGTTATCTGGAAAAGAAACATGTAGAGTTCAGCATCAAAAATTTGAAAAGCCTTTGATTGTTTAATTTTTTTCCTATTAAACGCTTGTTTATATTTTCATTCAGTGCTTTGCTGTCCTGGTGTCACCTTCATGATAATGGTTCGGCTTTGATCAGTAAAATAAATAATCTTCTGGATGCAGTTGGCCAGTGTGAAGAGTATGTGCTCAGACATCTAAAATCAATCACTTCTCAGCCCCATGTTGTAGATTTACTGGACTCTATTCAGGATATGGACCTTTGTCATGTAGCTCCAGCGGAGAAAAAGACGGATGAAGCTAAAGATGAAAGACTCTGTGAAAATAATGCTGAGCTTAACAAAAACTGTAGCAAGAGTCTTAGTGAGGCAGATTGTTCATCTTTAGAATGTTGTAGAATACAGCAGCATGCACATTCTGAAAACCCGAGCCTCACTTGGATTTTAGAACAGACAGCCGGTTTAGTAAAACAGTTGGGAATATCACTTGACATATTACAGCACCTCAAACAACTTTAAAAATTCTCTTCACTTTTCTAATGAAAGTAATGTTCATAACATTTCTTAGAACATTTTGTTTCTTAACAAACTAACCAAAATTTGTACCAGTTTCTATGTTGAACATATCACTTATAGGTTATCCTTCATGGAAATTTGCAGTATTTTCAAAATTAACACTACTCAATGTAATAAGAGCTTTTTTTCTTTGTCACTGGTAATTTTTATGTCATTTAAGATATGCTCAGTAACTCGAGTTGCCATTGTCATTTTCAAGTTTCTGATCAAAATCAAGCATTTTCAGACTCATTAGCAAAAGTGAACGAGAATCAAACACATTTTTTAAGGACCTAACCCTGCTTTCTGCTCTTGTCACCATTGGGTGGTTAGGACCTTACCACCCTCTAATTAGACCAAAGTTACCATAAATAACATAGTGGATAACATTGTAAATAGACACACATAGATATATAGAAATATATATATATATTGAAATTAAGAGGCTATAAGTGTAAGAAACTGAAGAAATGTTTATACTGATGATTAAAAACAAAATATTAAAATTCATTTTTGGTTTTGTTTTTTTTATTCACAGGTAGTCCCTACACCCAGCATGGGGCCGGAGCTCACAAGCCCCAGATCAAGAGCTGCATGCTTCTCCGACTGAGCCAGCCAAGTGCGCCATGAAATTCATCTTAGTTTTATGTTAAAGGCAAGGACGTACAATTCCACGGAAAATACAAAATACATTCCGTGCTCAAGTACGTGGATTTTCCATGTATTAAGGGTTAGTAGTGGTTCCTAACAAAGTGCCGGATTATTTCTAAGCTGCAGTTTTGTTTCACATATCCATACAGGAATAAACACAAACCACTGACATACATTACCCAGTAGCAGTATTCTTAGTCTAGCATAGACAAAATTAAGATTCGAGCTTTTGCTCCAGGACCTAAGCATATGAGAACAGGAAAGGATTTTTCAGCGCTTTCTTGGCTAAAATACAGAGTTGTATGAG